ACTGAAAGAAAGAAAGAAAGAAAGAAAGAAAGAAAGAAAGAAAGAAAGAAAGAAAGGATAGATAGATAGATAGATAGATAGATAGATAGATAGATAGATAGATAGATGATAGATAGATAGATAGATAGATAGATGATAGAGGATAGGATATAGATATAGATATAGATCATATATAGATATAGATTTGCTGACACTTTACTTAAATTAATTTTGTATATCAGTGATTGCACGACTTCTGTAGACACCATACACTAAATAAATAAATAAATAAATGACCTTATTTCTTATTTCTTTTGACTCCAGACCATCGTGGCCACTGGCATTTCATACGGGGTTGATTTTGAGAAGAAATACAATGCAGGGATCGTGAAATCCATTCCTAGAGGGTAAGTAAGGGCAGATTTTTTTTATTTGAACATTCAAACCAGTGGTGGGATTCAAAAAGTTTTACCACCAGTTCAGTGGGCGTGGCTTGGTGGATGCACTTTGCCTGTGTACGCGTGCCAAACGCGCACTTTGCGCAGGCGCAGAGGCGTTGCAACTCACCTCCTGCAAGCCTGCACTCTCCCTGTCGCTTCAGCAGCTGCTGTGCAGCACTCTGCTGTGCCGTGCAAAGCAGCTGCGCTTCAAAAGCAGAAGATAAAGGTGAATATGGGAGCCCGGACAGGCAGGTGGGACCAACAGCAGAGCAGCAGAGAGAACCAGTTAGGTCTCCGCTGCTCGTTGGCACTACCATCTCGGAAGAACCGGGCCAAACCGGTAGAATACCACCATTGATTCAAACCCCCAAAGGCTAAACAGAACTTCGTTTGGAGTTCAAAGAGAAAAGTTGAGATGGAACCAAGAGGGGAAAACAAGGAATCTCCATTTGTAGGCAGTCCTCAACTTACAACGGTTCACTTAGCGACCTTTCAGAGTTAAAATGGCACTGAAAAACGTGATATAAAGACCTCACACTTATTCCAGACCCAACAACCATTGCAGCATCCTTGTGATCACGTGATCAAAATTTGAGGTTCGGCACCCGACATGTACAGGTAATCCTTGACCTTACAACCACCATTGAGCCCAAAATGTATCTTGCTAAATGAGAAAGATGTTGAGTTTTGCCCCATTTTACGACTTTTCTCGCCACGTTTGTTAAATGAATCACTTGCGGTCATTAAATTAGTAAGATGGTTGTAAGTGTGAAAAAATGGTCCTGTCGCTTTTTCCGGTGTCTTCGTAACTTCAAACAGTCACTAAGCAAACTGTGGTAAGTCGAGGACTACCTGCACAATCATCCACAACATGCATGTGTCTCCTGCTCCTTTTCCTCTTTAGGTTTTTGCCTCCTCAGCCTCCAGCTGTGGAAATGTTCGGAGACATGCTGGCCTCATCTTTCTCCATCGCGATTGTGGCTTATGCGATTGCTGTCTCGGTGGGAAAAGTCTACGCCACCAAGTACGATTATGCCATCAATGGAAACCAGGTAGAGAGAACTGCACCGTATTCCCGAAGGACAGTGATGTAACCGCCTAACCTAAAGTTTTCTTTAAGGCACTAAATAAATGGACTTGCATATGTAGCCTTTTTTGAATAGGGAGGTAAGAATTTTAAAATTTATAGCTGAAGTTGGCACAGAGGTGGTCTTCAGCATGTGCTGGTAGCAGAAATTGTGAGTAATTCAGAGAACCAGGCAATCCTACCTCTGACTGGTCCCATCCCCATCTGTTCTCCGCCTCCCGAGTCCCAGCGGATTGGCTGGGTCTTCTTTGGTTGCCCTGCACAGGAGAACAGTGCTGGAAAGCAGGTTAGTGGGGTGAGGAGGGAATGGGGATTTTGCAGTATCCTTCCCCTGCCACACCCACCAAGCCACGCCCACAGAACCAGTAGTAAAAATTTTTGAATCACACCACTGAGTTGGCAGCTGGTAGAGAACGGGAGAATTAACACAATCACGCCATTAATAAAGATGGGCAGCCATGCAAATGAATTATGTTAAAATAAAGTCAAATAAAGTGAAGTGAAATAAATTGAAGCAGCCATGCAAATGAATAAAATACATAAAGTGAAGTGAAGTGAAATAAAGTGAAGTGAAGCAGCCATGCAAATGAATAAAATAAAGTAAAGTGAAATGAAGTGAAGTGAAGTGAAGCAACCATGCAAATGAAATGAAATAATAAAGTGAAGTGAAGTAAAGCAGCCATGCAAATAAAACAAAATGAAGTGAAGTGAAATGAAGTAAGGTGAGGTGAAGTAGAGAAGTCATACAAATGAATAAAATAACATGAAGTGAAGTGAAGTGAAGTGAAGTAAAAGTTCCAGTCCAGAATTCTCAAGGCCGTTTGAAGAACTTTTCAGATGTCTGGACTTCAACTCCCAGAACTCCCCTCCTCTTAAAGTTGCCCAGGTTGACAAACAAGAACGAAAACCCCAGGCCTCCTGCAACTAAATCTGAGCAGCACGAGAAGACCTCAATCTTTAATACCCAACATATAACTATCCATTTAGCAACCCTTCGAAGTCACAGTGACCTTGAAAAAAGTGACTCATCCCTGGTCCTTTCACTTAAAACTGCCGCAGCACAAAATCAAAATCCAGATGCATTGCAATCAGCAGGTATCACGTGATGGTCAGGTGGTTACGTGATTACCATTTGTACCTTTCCCAGCCAGCTTCTGACAAGCATAGTCAGTGGGGGGAGCCAGATTCACTTAATGACCTTGTGATTCACTTAACAACTGTGGCATAGAACTACCTGTACTTTCTCCAAGCCTAATAAAATATTTCCATGTACAATGTTCATTTATTCCTGTTTTATAACCTTCTAGGAATTTATCGCCTTTGGAATCAGCAATATTTTTTCAGGAGCTTTTTCCTGTTTCGCCGCAACCACCGCCCTGTCTCGCACTGCGGTCCAAGAAAGTACAGGTGGAAAAACTCAGGTATTTCATTTTGGCTCAGGAGGAAGGGCTTGGACATCCTTCTTGGAACTGACTTGGTAGAGCAAGCTTTGAACAAGTCATCTGATGGTTGATCCAAGTTGCATCATATTTTAACATAACACAAAGGAGGCGAAATCCTTTACAGAGAGAAGATTATGGAATAATTAATATAATTTTGCCATAATGTCAGTTTGCAGGGACAACCCTGAATATGGACTTTGGCAGCTGACTTGAATGATTAGAACATCCCTTTCATATTTATTTATGACTAGCTAGTAGTTAAGGCGGAAGTCATGGTAGTTAAAAAGAATATTGGCAGAAAATTGAACCTTGGGACCTTACAAAGGGATTGTTAGAAGACAATATAGAATTATTTATTGGCCAAGTGTGATTAGACACACAAGGAATTTGTCTCCGGTGCATATGCTCTTGGTGTACATAAAGCAATAGTGATAGATTATTATCATAGTCATTGTAAAATACATTTGTTATAAAAAATTAGATACAACACTTAGTGATAGTCATGGATACTAAATAAACACTCGACATAAATCATACAAACCTCAAGTTTTAAAATCGGGTTTTGAAATTGCATTTCCCTGTACGGCAACAACAAGAATTTTTAAAAAATCTGGTTCTGTCAAAAATGCTATTTTGACAACTTAAAATCTATACTGAAAACAGCTCACTAATCATTTCAAGTAGCCACTTTGCATAAATATTCCTGAAAACAAACTTATTTTCTTGATGATTCCAAATATTTTATTTTCAGGTTGCTGGTATAATCTCAGCATTTATTGTATTAATTGCTATTGTAGCTTTGGGGAAGCTGCTGGAACCTCTGCAAAAGGTATTTTGTTCAGATATATTTTACCATTTATTTACTCTTTTGTGCCCCAATAAACAGAAATCCTTCTCCCTTCTTAATAACACAGGTCAGGTACTGTTGTGGAAATAAAATTGAATGGGATCCTTAAATTAGTGCTTCAAGGAAAAGAAATATCTATAGTTCTATAGTCTCAAAGGTGCTTTTTCAGGAGGCAACTGTTTCTTGTTTCTTCTTTTGAAGACGTTTCGCTTCTCATCCAAAAAGCTTCTTCAGCTCTGACTGGATGGTGGGGAAATGGAAGGATTTATATTCCTTGCAGCTGGTCATTTGCATCCTTTTAGAAGGTCATTGAGGCCACTTGGAAGACAGAAGATTGCCCTGAGGACACAGATAAATCTCCAAGTGGCCTCAATGACTCTCAAAGGATGCAAATGACCAGCTGCCTGCAAGGAGTGTAAATCCTTCCATTCCCAACATCCAGTCAGAGCTGAAGAAACTTCTTGGATGAGAAGAAAAACGTCTTCAAAGAAAAAGCAAGTAAGCCCAGTTGCCTCCTGAAAAAGCACCTTTGGGACAACAACCATGGCCTGGATGACTGAGAATCTCTTCAGACTTGTAGCTCTATAGGCAATCCTCAATTTACAACCATTCATTTAACAATGGTTCAAAGTTACAACACCCTCGGAAAAGGTGGCTTACAACTTACAACGGTTGCACCACCTCACCGTGACCTGGCTGCAATTCAGGCACTGAGTAACTAATTCACATCTACAACAATTACAGCATCTTGCAGCTATATGATCGTAATTTGTGATTTTTCCCAACCCTGGGAGCTCATTTGAGGAATTTGGATTTGTTTAACCACTGCACGATTCACTTAATGACTGCAGTAGAAATGGTGATAAAACTGAGTCTGATGATGTGATAGTTTGCTTAACGATAGCAATTGAAATTTCAGTACCAATTGCAGTTATAAGTAGAGGACTACCTGAATTTATCTATGCAGAGGCATCCCTAGGAAATGTAGAAACATGGACATAAACAAGGGGCTACAGATGCAACCCCTATTTTGCTATTTTTAAGCACTCCCCAAGAACCCCTGCTTATACAGCCAATCCTCTGCATACAATCACCATTGAGCTCCAAATTTTTGTTGTGAAGTGAGACATTTTAAAGTGAGTTTTGCTCCATCTTTCTTACCACCGTTGTTAAGTGAATCACTGCAGATGATAAATTATTAACCTGGTTGTTAAGTGAACCTGGCTTCCTCATTGACTTAGATTGTCAAAAGTCGCAAAAGGGGATTGCACGACTTCGGGACACAGCGACGGTCGTAAGTACGAACCGGTTGCCAAGCGTCTGAATTTTCATCCCATGATGCTACAAAAGTATGAAAAATGGGCGTCAGTTTTTTCCATGCCGTTGTAACTTGGAATGGTCATTAAATGAATGTTTGTAAGGCAACCTTTGAAATCCCTCTTGAACGGATTTTTGCTTTAAAAAAAAAAAGCTAACCTGTTTCCTTCTCCTCCCTTTGTAGTCTGTTTTGGCAGCTGTGGTCATTGCGAACCTGAAAGGGATGTTCATGCAAGTTTGCGATGTCCCTCGTTTGTGGAGGCAGAGCAAAGCAGATGCTGTGAGTCCCGTTTTTCTTCAAAGAATGGAGCGTTATTGGCCATGCTTGAATTCCTCTCTTCTCTATTTAAGCAGCTGCCTTTCATTTCGTTTAATAATTAATCCTCCACTGAGAATCTTGTGTCACTGGGGGGGGGGGGGGGGAAAAAAAAAACAAAAAACAAGAGCTTCTTGGTTATTCCAGTGAATTTCTGACTATTGATGGTCTCCGTGTCAGGCAAGAAAAACCAGGCCCACCTGAAGGTCAAATTAAACTGATTTATTGTTAAAGGCCTATGCGCAGGGAATCTTCTCAACTTGGTGGGGAGGGGTGCCGTTTTTGCCCTCCCCAGGCTCCGGAGGCTTTCCTCGAGCCTCCAGAAGGGCAAAAACAGCCTTCCCAGCCTCTTGGAGCACCTCCAGAGGCCAGAAACAGGCCCGTTTCCGGCCTTCCGGAACTTCCGGGAGGCCTGTTTTTCACCCTCCCCCAGGCTCCGGAGGCTTTTCTTGAGCCTCTGAGAGGGCAAAAACAGCCTCCCCCAGGCTCCGGAGGGGTGGGATTTGCAGGTTCGCCAAACTGTGCAGCATCTTAGCTAGAGGATCGCCCGAACCTGTGCAAACCCACAGCAGCCCACCCCGGGGTTAGATAAGGATCCACAGAATTCAAGGGGAA